TACATAGAAAAAAAGGCTATAAAAATGACTACAATAATATATTCTCATTTTCAACGAGAACAGAAGATGGTTTGTAAAAGCTACTAAGTAATTCCTCTTAGTATTACTAATGCCCAGTAATTCCTCTTCTAGAAATCTATGAGAATAATTCAAAATATAGCCCAAAACACAAAGGCATTAAGTGTTCAGCAAAACACTGAGAATCTAAATATCCAATATAAAGAGATTGGTTAGGCTGTGCAGGGTGTTCACACCTGTAATCCCGGTACTTTGGGAGGCTGAGGCAGGCAGATCACCTGAGGTCAGGAGTTGGAGACCAGTCTGGTCAACATGGTGAAACCTCATCTCTAGTAAAAATACCAAAATTAGCCAGTCCCCGGCATGTGCCTGTAGTCCCAGCTACTCAGGGGGCTGAGGCAGGAGAACTGCTTGAACTCAGGAGGTGGAGGTTGCAGTGAGCCGAGATCACCCTATTGTACTCCAGCCTGGGTGATACAGCGAGTCTCAGGAACTTGAGGTTCCAGTGAGCTGTGATTGCGCCACTGCACCCCAGCCTGGGCAACAAAGTGAAACCCTGTGTCCTAAAAATGAAATGAAATGAAAATTTAAAAAATCACCTTTATGCATACCCCAATGTAATAATTTGGTTCAGGCAAGGATGCCAAAACTATTAGGTGAAACGTTATTGCAAGAAGAGTCTCAAAGTATCACAACACAGATTTCTTTCTGCTAACAAAAGGGAAATAATTTTACAATACGAAGATTTGTCATTCACCACCTTAACCAGGTGATTAAACTTAGCATCACCAAGCTGACATCAGATACTCCCTGACTTACTACACAACATCACCTCTGGTTGTATTATTGCCAAAAATAAGGAAACAATCTGAGAATTCAGAAATTGGAGCATTTTATGACAGTTGTGCCTTTAAAAAGCCACAGCAGAAGGGTGGCCAGGCTGCCAAGTGGGCTGGACATGATGGACCCAGCTGCTGGCCCAGGCTTAGGCCCATCCCCAGCCACCTAAATGAATAAATGATAAAACTCACTGATAAGGCTGGGTGTGGTGGCTCATGCCTGTAATCCCAGCACTGTGGGAGGCCTAGGCGGGCAGATCACTTGAGGTCAGGAGTTTGAAGCCAGCCTGGCCAACATAGTGAAACCCCATCTCTACTAAAAAAAATATATACGAAAATTAGCCGCATGTAGTGGCACACCTGTAATCCCAGCTACTCAGAAGGCTGAGGCAGGGGAATCGCTTGAACCTGGGAGGCAGAGGTTACAATGAGCCGAGATCGTGCCACTCCATCTCCCAGCCTGGGCGACAGAGCAAGACTCCATCTCCAAAAAGAAAAAAAAAAAAGGCCAGGCGCAGGCGCAGTGGCTCAAAGCCTGTAATCTCCAGCACTCTTGGGAGGCAAGGGGGCGGGGCGGATCACGAGCTGCAGGAGACTGCGATGAACTCCCTGGCTAAGCACTGTGACACCCTCCGTTTCTACTAAAAACATACCACAAAAATTCGCCGGGCGTCGGGGTGGGTGCCTGTGGTCCCAGCTAACATACACAAGTCCGGCGCTGAGGCCGCGGAGAATGACGCTGAACCGCCGGGAGGCCCTGAGGTTGCAGTGAGCTGAGATCTATGCAGTTGGGGCACTCCAAGCGCTGCGGGCGAGGCAGAGTTGATCGACTCATCTTCAAAAAAAACAAAAAAACAAAAAAAAGTCTAAGGCTTTTCTCGAAAAAAAAAACAAACCAAACCCCAAAAAATTATAGCTATTACATGTCGTTTACTTTTTTTTAATCATTTTTTTTTTTCTTTGAGACAGGGTCTCTGTCGCCCAGGTTGGCAGTGGCAATCTCATGGTTCACTGCAGCCTTGACCTCCGCAACGGCTCAAGAGATCCTCCCTGACTCAGGGCTCCGGCAAGTAGCTGGGACTACAGTACC